GCTGCATGTGAGACAGGAAATGACACCTCTCTATAAAAAAGGAGAAAGAGAAGGCTAGGCTAGTTTGTGCTTCCATTGAGAAATGTCATTTGAGTTCATCATACTCGCTCCTGGCAGGCCACACCCTGACAATTATTAGACATATGTAACGAAAAATTTAGGCAGCTTCATGCTGCCAGCCTTAAGAAAACACCTAGCTAGGTCGCGTTCTTTTTTTCTTTCCTCTCTTCTTTTTCTCGATCTTAGTTTTTTTTTTCTCTTTATTTCTACCTATTTCTTCCTCTCTGTTCACTTATTTTTTTCCCTTTCTATTCTTATGCCTATTTTCCTTCTTTCTATCTTTCTACTTCGCAATTATTTACTCGTTTTATTTTATTGCGTCATTTTGCCTGCATTATCGCTCGCGCACCTTTTTTTTTTCGTTGTTGATGATACGTAATCAACATCAAGGCACTGAAACAATAAGAGGAACAGCACTTCTGAGCGCGAGCGCGTGCTGAACATGCCGAGCGACGAAGACAGCGTACAACAATGCGGCCCCATAAAGTGCCCCGCACTTGAAATTTGTCTTTATTCATTCGTGTTGAACGAGCCCCTTCTCCTAAAAAAGCTTTATATACACTTCGCAGAATGGAAACGTCTGCCTCGAGGCCAGTTACTGTAATCTCTGCAATCTGCCACGAACTAATACGGCTATCAGAAAGTTCTCGCACGACAAGCAGCTGCTGTTATTCGATACTGATTAACAGTGGCAACCGTCAGATTGGCCCGTTACGCCCGCGCTAAATCTTTCTGCAGCGACGTCTCCAATGGAAATCGGCGCATTAAGCGGCCTCGGCGAAATGACGCAGACGGTTCAAATCCCATGTAACGAATCTTGAGATTAAGAAACGTGCCAGTGTCCGCACTTGGGACACAGTTGGGACTGCTTAGCGCAAGAGTAGACAAAGCATAAGAGCCGGGCTTGTTGCTTGTACACGATTAGAAAACGGAGAAAAACCTGAGGACACACGGAAAGGGAACACACACAGCGCTGACTTCAGACAATATCTTATTCTGGTTAAGGATACGCAAGATAAGTGGGCCACTCCCTTAGTACCGCATCAAAGCATATAGCACAGATAGGCCTCTCTGAGCCGTGTCCTGTGACGCGGTACTAGAGGAGGGTGGCTATCTTGCGTATTCACAGTCAGTGTATTTGTTTTCATTATAAAAAAATGGTCGAGATTCGGTGCTGAGTGCGTTTTCTTTCTGTGTGACCCATGGTTTTTCTCCCTGTTTTCTAATTACAGACACTGAATCACACGCAAGACGAGCGCCGTAGAACTTACTTCCACACGTTGCCTTGCACATAACTCGTAATGGTCGCTCTCGATGCCAGAATAGGAAGTCGAGGTAGCGGCGAAGCACGGCTCGCGACAACACAGGCATGCATCTCGAGTCTCGTCTCATTTTAGCGGCGGCCCTCCGATGGCGCCAATAATCACGGGATGAGAACAGAAAGAACTCCTCAGCGTCTCCTGACACAGCTGCCGAAAATACAGCCAGAAATGGCGAGTTCAGTTCCAAGAAGCAACAGTGACGGTCGAAATAGGCGCTATCATTGAGGCGAACAAAGCTGCTCGCGCAGCGATGGAGCCTCTACGCCGAGGATGGAAAGGCCAGAATCGATCTCCGATGGCCGAGCAGATAAGGAAGATTACTGCCTTTCGGCTCCACCAGAGCAAGGCGGGCCCCGTGTACAGATACAATGACGCAGGCCGATGCCGCTCGCTCTTTACCTACGCGTGGCGCAAATAATTGGACGCAGCAGGGCCGAAGGCACGCCAAAAGGTTAACTGTGGCGTACTGCTGGTGCTTATTTCTCTATTTGTTCAATGCTCCTAGCCTTACGTGCAAGGCAGTCGCAGGGATCGGGAAACAAAGTATACCTATGATGCATATGTTCCAAACAAGTTGAAGGGCGAATAACTTAACAAAAAATAGCAGTAGAAAGTACATAACTTTACATTCGCCCCAGAGATTCCCTAACCTCGAAAGCTATTTGTTGCCTGCTTGGTGGTCTAGTGGTTAAGTCACTCAACTGGTGACCCGCAGGTCACGGGACCAGACCCCAATGAAGGGGGAAGTGTTTGAGGCCAGTGTACAAGGTGGTCGAAATTTCTGAGGCCCTCCACAACGACGTCTCTCATAAATAATCATATCGTTGTTCTGGGACGTCCAACCCGAATTATTATTATTATTATTATTATTATTATTATTATTATTATTATTATTATTAACTGATTTGCAATAAATCATGCACCGATGCCGCACGTTTAAAACGGTCACCACTACACATGACAAGCTCCAAAGCGACGCTGAGGATCTTGCGAGCGCACGCTGTTACACTCAACCGTAACAAATGTACCGTCCTGAATGTACTGTGGGCGCCCCTAGAGCCGCCCGCTTCGGTCACTCGAATTTTCGCACCGCACTCTACGGTCGCAATTAATGCAAGCATTCGCTTCGTGTTCTCGCCAGGTTCCGTGTCATCGGGTTTGCTCCCTCGTTTCGGCGCGGTGCAGCACCACAGCCGCGAGTGAGCGGACGCACGCGGGAGTTATCTGGGCCTCGCTAGGTATACACTGTGAACCAGTTTGCATCCTTTAGGGTGCTTCCCGTGTCTATAACACTCATGCCACGGGTGGTTTAACAAACCAAAACACCAATGGCGTGGGTGTCAGTTATAGACACGCAAACTGGTTTACAGCTAGAGAGTGCTCAGGTGGTAAAAACCGCGAGTAAAAACTCACAGGCTCCCTCACGGCTGAGCGGAGAAAGAGATCTTGCTAATTTTCTTCTCACTGCTATCACGCGGGGACCGGAAGGCGCGGTCAGCTCGAGTATTCCTCACGTCGAGCGAAGGCGTCGAGCGAAGACGCCCTCCCAGCACTGCAGGCAACAGCAGCGGTGCAGCTGCCCGGGCCTTTTACGAGTGAGCTCCGGCGTAGATCTGCACACAGACTCTCGCCGTCCAATGAAGAAGCCGGAGGCCGAAACAGCCGCCCCACGAAACTCGGGCGCGCGAAGGCCCCGTGATAAATGACCGCCCGCTCCATTAAAAGCACGGCGGCGCAGACTTTGGCCGGTGGAGCCCGATGCCGCTTGGCAGGGAGAAACACGGCGTCCATGTAACGGAGCTGCGGGCCGCCAGTGTTTTTTCTTCCTCTTGCCTTTCGCGCCACTCGGCTAATTCGCTTCTCTTTGTTGCTTCGCTCCGCCGAGCGAGATCGACGGGCTATCCGCAAAATCCAACGGTGGTGTTCGTGCGAATACATTCGAAGCCAAGTGCAGGGAGTGTGCACGCAGAGCGGTCGTTCGCCGAACTGCACCGGTCGGCATGAGTCGATTTGCTCACCTGACGGAAATCGGGCACGAATTCTCTCAGCGCAGGTCGGAATTCCATGGATCATTCCACGAACGTGACAGTTGCGGCGACGAGGAAATGTCCGACACTGAGGCTTCCCGCCATGTAGTCTAATTCTACAGGGTTTCCATAAGGTGCAATACAAGTTCACAAGGCGTAATGCAACACGAGAAGGACACACAGCGCTAGCATGTAGGTCTTTTCTGTCCCTGTCGTATTGCACTACGCCATGCCCGGCAACGCTGTCCATTACTCACAGTCACGGCCAGTGTTTTTTTTTTTCTGCTTTTCTGTCTTCAGATTACCGTACGATGTCCTCACGAAGAAAAAAAAGGAAGTGAAAACGGCGAGATCATTGAAATTTACTGCAGCAGCAGGACTCTAAAAGTATCTCGTTATCCACCACTATATTTAGTGCATCTAAATCGCGACTATTGCCCCGAAGTTCAATCTTCGAGGCCCGTACTCAGCTCGACGTCGATTGTGTTGGCTTCGTTAGGATATACGCCTTGACGGTTCTCGTTTTGGTTAGCGCGTGGTAAACCGACAGGCACGCCAATGTCTCATGAGTGCAGAGCTTGCGCGCTGGCACGGCTCCTCACACGGAGGACAATGTTTACTGCGAGTAAAAGACCAACCGCTGTGGTCTGGTCTCCCGCTCAACATGCAAGAGAGGAGGAGAAGGGTGGAAGGATTTTCAAGGAACCACACTTCGCTGGGAATGAGAAAGTGAGCGAACCATGGGAGTCCGCGATAAGAGTTAAACAACACACAAAGACAGATATCGCTGCTGGCATAGCGATGACAAAAAGCAACCCGGGAAAGGCGGGGGCAGTTGGAGCTTAACAGCATGGTACTGAATCGCATTACAGCGCCACGCTAGCGGACGATCGAAAGTTTGAGGGCGGGGTGGCTGCTGAGAGCGCGATCGACAGCCTCCAGAACACGCAGCGCACCTACACAACGTCGGCAAGCAGCAGCGATAACGACTACACGGGGCTCGGCGTGTAATGAGCACAGTGACCGGCTCTGTGAAGACGATCCTGATGAAACAATCGATAGCATGGTATAATCAAACGCAAACCCTGGAACTGTTCTCTTACGCGCACTGTAAGTGGAGTGAGTTGAAAAGACAACTAGGAATGAGGGAAAGGTAAGGAACCACACAAGCAACAGGCGAACAATGCGCAAGGACCACCGGTAAGCCACAGATATGTGATCGCAAGTTTCTCGCAGCGCACAAGGTGACACTATCCTGTCCGCTGTCCCTGATAGGTCGTTGCGCTGCAAGATGTTTGTAGTCACGGTAGACCAACGCACACTGGAATGTGTAGCCTTCACGTACATTCAGGGGAAGCGGACGAAGGTTCAATGCAGCGCCCGCTAGCTTGTCAATGTATGGTCAGACTTTGCACCCCTGCCCGCCTTTGCGCACGACTATGGCAACACGCCCAATCCCACGCTTTTCTCGAAAAATATGTGAGGTTGTTTAGTACCTGTCTCCTGCAGTTTACAAGGAACGAACGCGCAAAGATAATCTTGCCCCGAGGGCAGCCCTTATCGCAACGAAGAACAATGGCGGCGGACGTACCTCGATGGGCGTGAGCGTGTGCGTGTCTGTTCCGTGCACGAGGTGAGCGGGCAGCCGGGTGGGGTGGTGGTGGTTGAGCAGGATGTCACTGTACGCCGCGCCGTTGGCGGCGCTCAGGTCGCACGGCACGCCCTGGTGGGGGCTCTTGCAGGGCAAGAAGTTCTGAACCTTTTTCTTGTGTCTGCACAAAAGAAAGGAAGGTTGTGATAATGAGCAACACTGCAATACGCACGGAATCGGACACGTTGATTTGCACCAAGCTAGCTAAGAGCAACCACAGAGACATAAATGCCAGATTATCAGCAGTACACAGTATTTACACTTTTCTCCCCATCAATAAACATTTACATGCGCACAAAACAAAATCATACAAGTTTCTGGAAACATGACCGCAGTGCCAGAGAAGAGCGTCCATAGTAAGACAGGTCTATGATTCGGTCTAAACTGAACATGAAAAATTACGCGCATTCCTCTACGTCCTTTATTAGAAGTTCAGAGCGACTGTTCCAAATCAACAGGCACAAACATACCCATACATCTTTCCTTCACTAATGAATGTTATTTCGCAACGCACAGGACACGACAGACAGAAGTACACACACTATTAATGTGAACGCTGTTAGGTCAGTTATCATGTAGCGATGAATCAACCTTTTTCATCGGAATAGGTGTGGACGACCTGTTTTCGCAGTGAACGAGAACAGCACGGTGAGACATGGCCGTAGAGGTGACCCATGAGCTGACTGACAGCTGCCTTCATTTTCGGAAGTGGGTAAATCATATCACACGAAAACGAAACATACAACCGCCACATACGACCACGCGTGTGTCGCGTTTGCATTCTCGTCATTTCACGCTGTCACTCTGAGAATAAAAACCACCTATAGCCTACCATAAGAAGGTTTACGTTTTTTTTTTAAACACCTGGCATGAGTGTCTCTGGGAGCACCGCGATTCTTCACCTTTTCTGTGGTCATTGTCTGATCCTCCAAGAGTAAGGGTGGCCAACTGGAAGCAATTCACGGTCCCCGTTTTCCGGCTATCTATTTTCTTCCCCTCCGAACAAGAAGCAAAACTATTCGTACGTTCAACGAGCCCGAATAGGCCGACGAGACGAGCATCTCGATAACATTTATCCCGCTTCAACAAAAACAGGGTGCGCTACGTGCCATCTCGACGACGCTCGGCAGCGCCGCATTTGGCCGAAGACAAATTGGTTGATGCCCAGCCTCGAGAAACAGATTCTTCATGGAGCCCGGAAAGGCCCAACAAGGCGAGCGTCACCGCTTCGAGTGCGGCAAGACAACTAACTCGAAGACAACGAGCCATGCAATGGGCCTCGCGGGGACACTCTCCAAATCGCGCCGCAGCCAGCACTCCGTAACGTGCGCTTTCCCGCTGAACTGCACTTGGCTGAGCACAGGGAAAGCGAATAACGCACGTCTTTTCATGGCTCGTTGAGAGACTCGGCCTAAATTAAATGAGCCCTCGCGACGGTCATCACTGGTCGAGACAGGGGCTTCCTTTTTGTTCCGCCGGAACGAGACTGCGGTTTGTCCCTCCCGAATGGACAGCGAGACTGGACGCGAGGTTTCATTACGGCTGCGTGTAGCTTATACTTACACGGTGACAGTGTGCGCGATTTACGCAGCTCCAATGACTCGCGCAAGACAAGCCGCTTCGGGATGAGTGAGAAAAAAAGGTAGTGGGCGTAATGCGACACATCCGAGCATCGCTTTGTTTGGGATCGATACTCGCTTTGGGGGCGGCGGTAAGGACGCTGCAGTGTCGCCGCTAGCAATCTACACCGCCTCCCACATTCGAGCTGAAATGTGCAGAGACAATATGCCACTGCCTAGAGACATAATTTGCGGACACACAACATACCCAAGGTAAATCAGCGCCCTAATTTATTCATTAAGGCGCTACAGAAAAAGTAGACTATCGTCGCGCGACGGTAACGGACTGTCGTCCAGCGGCATTGACTTCAAAACGAGTGATGAAAAGAATAAAAAAAAAACGAAATATCATCATCGCGTGGCGACGTCCGAAAGACAGGATCTTAGACGCAACCATGACGTCATCATGACGTGTAGCGACGTCACCTGATGACGTCGACACTTGTCATCGCTTGGTAAAAGGTAGGCCGATCACAGAAGTCGTGCAAAACAAAGCGAGGAGCTTTTGAGGGGCAGCGCAGAGGGATCAATGAATTGGTTGAGAGGCGTACGCATAAGATACCCTGTAAGTTTCTTTATTTGTACATAATGTTTATTCCAAATACCATGCAGCTCCTATAGCAATTGTTATTGGGTAAGGGGCACTTATAGTGTACGCAGCCTCCTCTTAACAACTATAAGTAGACATTGTCTAGTTATCCATTAAAGAATCAGCGGTATGCGCAAGCTTTATCGCAAGGAAAAACACATTTAAGCATCAGTACACAATAAGTATCAAAATTTTAAAACCACACGCACTTATACAGCGTACAGAAACATCCTTTTCGCAGTATGTCTACGAAACAACATTTGTCAAGAATCACGCAATGGAGAACAAAGTGCGTACAAACTTTAGATGCGAAAATGCTGCGATATGTTATGCAAATGCCCGGTGAAAGAGACTCGGAGAGCGCCAGCGAAAAGAGGTTCTATAATGTCGTGCAAAAGGAAAAAAAAATAGAAACGAACCGCCTACGAACAGTTGATTAAGGAAGTAAAATCATACCCTAGAGTAAACAACACAAATATTATGATGGCGCTTGGAAAAAAAAAAAGCGGTAATAACGGTTCCACGTATAGCGAGTAACATACATGATAAATTACAGACAATGATGCCAAGTAGAAATTGTAATGTTAATCTGAAGCCAGAAAAGCGGACGATAAGATAACTTATCCCTGGCAGGAACCGCACCTGCGACCATGAGCGACGCTGACTGACCGTCCGACGTTTAAATGCACATGTATACCCACCCCGTAATGTAGACGGGACCGCCGCTGCAGCTCAGTCACAGTTTCAGTCCCTATACTGGCGGCAGTTAATTATCTTTTCCTCCACTTTTATTTCTCCCCACTTTACATTACAGGTGTCACTAATAACATTCCCTGGACTTTTCTCGGCCTCACTGTCTGTAAGTTATTGTTAATATTGTACAACAAAGAAAAAAGTGCTCTTGAACTTTCACTTCTTTCCTTCAAGAACGATACATGTATTATGCGCGGTGCCAAAATATAAAACTCGAACATTGTTTCGGCCCCGGCCGATAGCAGTTAAAGGGCGAAGAAACAAAGGCTAAGCGCCGAATCGCCCCTGTCTGTGCAACCACGTCATCCGCCGTGCCTGCCTCTGAAGACAACGCACGGCGGCATCAGCAGAGGGCAAAGCAAGCCCTTTCTCCCAATTCCTGCCGTTATTACATGCTGCATATGCGCACTAAGAGCGCCCATCTGTTGCCGCAGAGCAGCCGATATAGGTTCTGGAAATCGGCCCATTTCTCTGGCGTCGCTTGCAGGCGCGCCAGTATATGCGCCGGGCGTCGAAGATTGCCTGCACGCGCGAACTTCCAGCAAAGGACGAAGGGGGGAAAAAAGGAGAAGAACGGTCACGCGGGAATTACCGTGCCAGATAAAGGCCGGGAGAAAAATTTACCCTCGCATAAGCTTAACGCAGAGTTCGCGAACTGCGCTTGCACGGTGAGCGTGCATATCTTGGACCGATGCGATTATGACGCCAGTGCTGGAGGAACAATATAAAGAGACATCTGTTGAGACTGATAAATTATGCTCCGGCAATTCCATCAACGTTGATAGCGCCATCATAGGCCCGTTACTACACCAGAAAATTGTTAGACGTTTCCCTTTGAATTTCGCGCCGAAGTCGCAACACCTAGCTGCGTGCCAATGTGACGTTACGAATTCCCCATTGACAATCTATATATACAGCGCTAATTCGGCGAGGACGGAGGGAAATTATTATAATAACTGTTGGGGTTTAAAGTTTTGAGACCGCTATACGCTTCAGAGAGACACCATAGCAAGGGCTCCGGAATATTTGACCAGCTGCGGTTCCTAAACGTGAATCTTTGAATGGATCTAAGCGCACAGTCCTCGAGCATTCTCGCCTCCGTCGGAAAGCGTTTGGAATGACTGTTGTCATTTACTATATACGGATCTCATTAACTTCATTCGACGCATGACAAGTATGAAACAGCACTAAGAAAAAAACTTTACACTTGAACGAATATTATATTTTTTGTGTGATTTGTTTCAACTTTTTAGGGGTTCTTTATATTTGTCAAAGTAGCCTAATCGTTGTTAGTCCACAATTACTTATCGCTTTTTGCCGCATTAATTGAGCCAAAAAAAGTGGCCTAAACGAACCAATTAGTAAGAATTATTTGATATGTTCTCGGTAATTCACGTGAGGGCACCTTCCATCGCGCCTACGTGTACGGAAGCCGCGCGCCTCTGTCTATATAGCCCGAACAGATGCAACATATTGGTGCGCAACCAGGCGGATTCATTCGAAGAAACGCGGCAATGGGGCTGACAATGGCGCTCTTCTCGAACAAGGGGCACTACAGGAAGCGTCCGCGCCATCACAAACACGCACACACTAACACCAAGGCCCGAAAAAGTCTCGACAAGACAGGGCTGAAACCTTCACCATATATACTATGTTGTAGCCCGTCAGACCGTCTGCAACGGAATACTAACACAAAATATCGCCGGCGAGATAGCCAGTGCGTTCGAATCCCGCGAACATGCGCATATAATCTGCGAAATATAAATAGCCGGAATGACTTGAAACATGTTTGATGTGAATGTTGAAGTTCGCGCTGTACGCCGAAGCTCACGCCGTTCACACCCCCGAGAGTGACTCGACGGTGACCCCCTCTCCCCCAGTTTCCTCCCGTCGCCCAGCTGCAGCCAATACAAGTTGCGATGACGTCATGGTGGTAGTTACCCCTTCGCCGCGTAAACGTCTGCAGGCCACTACTCGGCAGCTGCTCGCGAGTGCGTGGCCGCGGCGCACGAGTTGGAAGTTGTGTGTTTTACGACACTGCTTTCCCGTTTTCTGTTCGAAAGGACTTCTTCGTGCGGAAGTGCGTCGCAGTTCTGTGAGCTGACGTGGTCGAGCGTTGCACACGCTAGATGGCGATAGTTACTTGCACCCGGCGTCTTA